GAACTGCATAATGTAGTCTATTCTTGTCAGCCCCACCCACACCGCCAGAGGCGGCGCTGCCCCATTCTGCCTTTTATCATCACTCTCATTTTATCATGGAGCAGATGAAGAAAAGTTTAAAAAAAAAAAAGAAAAGAAAAAGAAAGAAAAATAGAGAGAGAAGAAGAAAGTGTTCCTCTTCTGACAAGCAGGCAGTTTGTCTGTTTAGGGTTCGATTCCAGAGATTCGATTCCAATCACAGCTGCAAACACAGCTGCAGGAGAGAGGAGATAATTCTGAAGGTAGAACCCAAACAATTCCAAGTTGACTTTTTTTTTACTCATTAGGATAAAAAACGTATTAAAATGGAATAAAAAAACAACTTTTTGACTTTAAACAATTAACATTAAATGAATAAATAAAAAATTATAATTAAAATCAGGCATCCACCTCAGTGGTCTCCATCATCTGATTCTCCACCTGATGATGATGATGATGATGATGATGATGATGATGATGATGATGCAACAGGCATTTTAAAAACATTGATTAGTGATTGGTTAATGAGCTCTTCCAACGACACGCTCTGTTTTTGATGCAGCGTCAGATATTTTGTGTGTTGGTGAGAGTGACGTCTCAGGTCACAGAGGTCAGGCACATTCAGCAGCAGGTCTCCACCTGTGGTCTGACCATCCTGTAGCTGTGAATGACTGGGAATTCTAAACTTAGCCTGCAGTGGGCGCTCTTTGATTTATTGTTGTTGTTGTTGTTGTTGTTTTAACACATGACATTTCTGACAATAAGTCACTTTGAAATAATTTTTTTGGGAATTTTCATGTTTGAGGTCAAAGCTGATCAACCGTAGCTCGTTCTCATTTGTTACTTAAAAAATGACAGAATAATTCACCTGATGCCACCAAATCATAATTCTTAAAAAAACGACCAAAAATATTTGACGACCCAAAAATATTTTTTCGTGGCCCATTTCTGGGTCCTAACCCAGTGATTGGGACCGACGGCTAAATGACACAGAGACCAGGTGTTTTAACATCAGCTGTCCTTTTGACAAACCTGTTTTTATTTGCGGTCATTTCGACAAAGTTCCAACTTTTCTCCGGTTGTTTGGGTCTAATCTGCTCTGAGAGGAAATGTCTGCATCAGCGGATTTCAATAAAAATGTCTTCAGTGCTCCGTGAGCTGCGGCACTGGAAGCTTTTTATTCCAAATAAATGAATAATTATGAGTCACTTTCCCCTTTTTTACCCACCGCAGCACCTGCCGCCATAAAAGTTCACGACCACGCCCTCTCCCGGCGGCTCACCGCCTCAATCTGCCTGCGG